GGCCTAGGTTCAGCCTGTGTGTGTTCTTTGGTTGGTGGTTCAGTCTGGACCCCAAGAGTCCTAAGTGTCCATGTTAGTTGACTCTGTTGGTTTTCCAGTGGAGTTCCTATCCCCTTCAGGGCCCTCAATCCTTGCCCTTATTCTTCCATAAGAGTCCTCAAGCTCCATTCACTGTTTGGCTATCGGCGTCTGTATCTGTCTGAGTCAGCTGCTGGGTGGAGCCTCTCAGAGGACAACATTCTCCTGTCTGCAAGCATAACAGAATATCATTAATAGTATCAGGGATTGGTCACAATCATTCTTGGTACATTCCACATAGAACTCTAGGAAAGGGGTTCATACGTATATACATGTATGTTTGTACACACACATACACACACACACACACACACATACACATTTTTTGTGTGTATAGTAAAGGTGTTTGATCCTGCCTGACTCTCTGGTTCTGGTTAAAGGGCATATTCAGATAGTTCAAACCATTGACCACTTTTGTATGACAGTGAGGACCCAATAACCAAATGGGGTTTAGAGGATTATATCCTCCTTCATAGGGGAGAAAGTATCGAGGCAAGATGGAGGCAATTTTAGGAACGAATAAATGAGTTGTTTGGGGGGGGAGGCGATAAATAGACTCAGAAAGAAAATAAACTCAGACAAAGTTTATTTTTATTGTTTAGGCTTTGGAGGTTTGGTTTCCTCTTTCTTGGTTGATGAAATAACATGGTGGAAGCCAACTATGTTCCTTTTTGGTAGAGCCAATCTTTGTGTAAATAAAGGCTCAAAGAAGAACTTTTCCAGCTTCTGCTGATTCCCCAGTGCCTGTAATCTAAAGTATCCTGTGGTTTGAGGCATCATATTTTCTGGTACCTTCAATCTCAACTCAGAACTGAACTGTAATTTATCATATTTTATTAGAAATTTTCCTATGGCCGGGCGGTGGTGGCGCATGCCTTTAATCCCAGCACTCGGGAGGCAGAGGCAGGCGGATTTCTGAGTTTGAGGCCAGCCTGGTCTATAGAGTGAGTTCCAGGACAGCCAGGGCTATACAGAGAAACCCTGTCTCGAAAAAAAACAAAAAAAAAAAAAAAGAAATTTTCCTATGTAAGTAAATTGCCTCTATGCTGAAGAACAGCAAAGAACACACTCTATTATGAAGAAAAGAAAGGAGAAATTAATAGAGTAAGTGTGGGACATCTGTCAACAAACAAGACTCCTGTTGCTTGGGACATTGGGGACACTCAGGATGGGGAGGCACTGTGTGACTCACCAGGGTGGTACAGATGTGTTTCCTTGGGCATGGGCTGTGGCTCTTCACATTGTCATTACACACATGGCAGCTGCTACAGAATTGTGTGTGCTTTCATGTACACATCATACTATTAAAAGTTTAGGAGACTTTGAAATTATAATTACCCATATTAGCCCCCATCTTCCTGTCAGGCTGCTGAGGGACGCCCTTCTTCACCCTTTGAAAGAAGAAGACCCTTTCTTTTGTACCTGGCGCTTTTCTTATAATTATGCACCTCTATCTTGTAACTATGAAAATCCCAGTGATTACCTTTTATGAAAATGCCATTCTAATTTATGCTAAATCAGAGGTGAGGAAGCATAAAAGGATCTGTGGTAGAAAGCATGGTCTAGCCAGATTTGGAATTCCATGGTTTCACCATGAGGAATATGATCTCCCATGTTCCTATGTCTCATTCTGTATCACTTCATGGAGAAAGGAGCAGAATAGAAATGTAGACAATGTACGTGAAGAGTATAAAATAGATAGGGGATTAGCAAACTGTGGAGATATTCCCTTTGGGGGTGAAAGTATGTATTAGTGTACAACATTAAACTAGGATTTATGAAAAAGAAGGATAGGTATTTCTGAAACATAATAACTACCCACAAAGAATCCTTTTTTTAAAAATTCCCCAAGTCAGATTTTAGACATACTGACAGAAAAGCTTGACTGTGATAAAATCAGGGCTTAAAATTTTTAGAGGAAACTTGACATGAATTTTATATTATTCTCTTATGTAAATGAAAAGAAGATGCATTAAATCAAAAGTAATGGTGTATATGACTTGCCAGAAAGTCCATTAAAGAGTTCAACCAGCAAGGTTTGAGGTGTTTTTTTTTTTTCCTCCCAGGGTATGTGTTACTTACCACTGTTTCTCCTTCACCTGGTGTAGAATCAACACAACAGCATCACTGTGTACTAAGCAGGCTTAGCCACAGTACTTACCATACCGCCTTGCAAATGAAGCAAATAGTTTACTGTTCTTGGCCTTCAGTTTGTCCTCTCTGAAGGAAAACACTGTAAGTGAGGGTTTGTGATGGCTGTCAGCTCTGGGGTCCAACAGAAGGCCTTGCATAGAAGCAAACAAATTTGGTAATAAACCTGCTATGTTCTTTGCCATCTCTTTTAGTGTTTAAAGACATACTCTTACTAAGTTGTCCAGCCTGGCAGGAAACTCACTCTGTAGCTTGGGCTGGTCTTGAACTTGTGACTTTTTTGCTCCCATTTCCTAAATTGTCTGGGAATACAAGCCTTAAAGATTTACTAAGGATCCATGTGACTTTCAAGATCTGATTCTGACCTCTCACAAGAAAAATAAATAACACGTTCATATTATTTGTGGTGTTTGGCTGTGTCTTTGAAACTTTTGTGAATTAAAGCTTGGCTCATTATTTTCTTGCAGCCCAGTAAAGAACCATTAAGAACTCACAGCAAGATTGGACATGAGAAGAGATACTGCTCAAGCCTCATGCACGCATTCATTCACTATGGAAACGGACATCACGGAAAACAACACGAGCATTGTCATCTGAAGTGGAAGCTAAGAGGTTCATCTTGGACAGCTTTGGCAGGAATTTTTCTATATACATCTGAAGGTTTGCAAGAAAAGTTTATAGAAGTTATTATAGAAAGCATTTCCTTCCTGAAGGTAGTACAGTAGAGCTTCTATAGAAGAGAAAAATAACCTTGAGGGGAGAACATGAGGGAAACTTACAGATCACACATTCTTCTTCTTATAGGACAAGTTTAACAAACGAAAAAAAAATCCAGTAGACTTGAATGATGACCTGGCTGTTATCTGAGAGTTTCCCAATTTAGCATTCTGGGGAGAGCTCCTTTCTGGCATTTGCTGATTAAGTGGGGTCTGTAATGCTGTTAATTTGACCTCTGTCCAAAACTGTTTCATGAGAAAGCCAACAAATCATGTAGAAGACAGTCAGATGTAGCAATGTTTTCCTAAGTCACATTTCACAGAGGGTACTGGATGCCATTAAGAGACAACGGTAGGCGGAAGAGATGGGAATAGATGAGGCAGACAGGATTTGTGTTTTGGAAGGGAAAGATTTAGTAAGTTGAGTAGGGCTTGTGATTGACAGTCATCACAGATCTCTGCATGTGTCACTGTGGTATGTGACACTCATTCTGACAGCTGTAGGAATTCCTTTACAGGTTTCTTGAATAGATTTGTTTTTGATCATTACTTTTGGTCTTATTAACCATTTTATTTATTTATTTTTTGTGCTACAGTTTTGCCTTTTGGAAACAAATGTGAGAAATAGTATGTTTTTGATGGTTGGGCAGAATTCTAATGACTTAATAGGTAAGGCTGAGGCATTTTTCATTTAAAAACTGATGAGGATATGTACAGAGAAACATATTCAGTAGTTAAGAGTAACATGAAGCTAGCTCTACAGCTTCAGAATGGCTATTTTACCTCCATGGAAGTTCAGTGGGATATATAGACATTAAGTCTTGTCAACTTCAGGGTGCTTTTTTTTTAAATTTAAAATATTTTATAATACTTTATTAAGAATAAATTGAAAATAAGATATATCAAAAATCTAGTTGGCTGTATTGGAATGAAGTATTGTTTTGGATAAAACTGTATTTTATATAGTTAGTTTAGTTAGTCACCATGAGGTATTTTTCTAACACTGATCATTGATAGGCAATACTTTTATAAAAAGCAATTTTATTCTAAAATTCAAACAGCCAATTAACATATCAGGGATGATAGATTCTTAGAATTGCTTAAATAGACAATAAAGAATTTATTGTGAGAAGAGTTTTCTTAGTTATTGAAGGAATAAGATAGTCCACACAACAAATATGATAAGGCAAGTTCTTAGTTTTCTAAGTGTGGGATACAGAGAAACTATAAACGATACTAATGAGTTCATGAAAATTCACACAATGACAAGAATGCAGAGGATGATTATTTCCAATACAGCAATGTTTCCTGAAGTCTTAAATAATATATCAACATATATTAACTTCAACTTCTCATGTTTAATGATGTTTACAATTAATATGGTACAGTATTCCCTAATTTGAGATTAGCAGTCGTAATTAACTCAGAATAGATTCTTTGAAGTGGTTCAAAAGGCTTTTTTGTAATAAATTTTTAGCCTCTAATCAGCTAATGTGAAGTGAGTAGTTTTGGGGGATGTAAGAAGTACGTTAAAATCTCATAAAACATTTAATTTAAGTTAATGAAATGAATTTGTGTGGTACGAAGTCTCTATATGGAAACAGAGCCATGACTGATACTCCAGAGGAAGCTTTATTTAGACCAACTTGAGAAATCTTTGGGAAAACAGGCTTTAGGCAGTGCTATCTTAGGTGATACAGCTGAGTAGATTTCTAGAATTGTCAAGTCCCTTTAAAACAATTTTTTTAAAAAATTAATTGAGTTAGTAAAGATAAAACACTTTGTCTTGGGTTTCTTACTCTGTCCTAAGAACGTTGATTTTAAGTTTGAGCTTTGACTCAGGAGAGAGTTTTCACTTGTGAGGCTGGGTCTGGCAGACCCCGAGGATCCTGGGTGTTCGCTGACACACCATTGAGATAAGAAGAGTGACATGAACCAGGGATAAAGTCTGGCAAGCCTGTTGCTTCCAGTGCTCCAGAGAGTTTGTAGCTCACAGGTGTGGCGGTCCATGAGAAGACACAAGTTTGAAAGCATTAATTTCTTGATAGGGTAAAGATGAAGGTGCCTATATCAGGAGATGTAAAAGAGGAAATTGAAGAGGAAAATGTGGAGGAGGAAGAAAACCAGGAAGCCAAGGTGAGCAAGAAAGAACTCGCTTAAGCACAGAACTCAGTCCTTTAACAGACAAGGAAAAATCGGAGCTTCTCCCTCTCTCTCTCTTTCTCTCTTTTGAATTTTCACTTAGGTGTTTCTGAAACCTGTTATTGAAGACCTAAGCATGGAACTGGCCAGAAAGTGCACCGAGCTCATTAGTGACGTAAGTGGCTTTAAAGACTTTTGTCATATTTGCTTCCCTTACATGGAATGGCTGTGTTGTAGAGTCACGGGGCTGGAGAGAAAACCCTGAGGTCATCAGTTACAGCATTTTCATCTTCTAGATCATTCAACTGAGTCCAGGCCTGTTAGGTGATTTCGCCAAGGTCATAGAGGCAGGGAATGTTTGCTGGAGCAATTGTTCTCATTCCTAGTCCAGGTCCTGTCTCTTCCCGGTCATGCAATCATACTAAATTGCATGGTGTTGTGTTATCAAGGTCGAGTTTGAGAACCCCTAAGACTTTAAAATTATCAGAGTGATAAGATTTGTCTTGGAAGGATCTCTAAGTGAATGACTTTCAATATGGAAGACTTTTATCTAAATGAATAGTGCTTAACATTCTGAGGACCATCTGAAGTTTCCCTCAAATGCAGTATTTTTCCAAATCATGAAGATCCATGTACCTTTAATTTCATCTAACATTTCTTTGCAGTATAGTGTGTGTGTATGTGTGTGTGTGTGTGTGTGTGTGTGTGCTAATGGAACTGTACATTACAAACACATGATAATATCCTTAAAAAGAAACATTTTTGGTTTTAGGAATTAAAGCTTGTTAATATGCTATACCAAGGAAATCCAAGAGTTATTTAATGTAAACATGTGCACATACATGATAAATATATGAACTAGAATTCTAGATGCTTAAGGAAGAGTACTTCTGACTTAGCATGATCAGCCACCAGATCCTCATAGACAATGTAAGAGAACTGCCGGCTTAAAAAACATGGACTTCTATGAAATGAAGTATGTTGGTGCCTGAATTCAGAGAGCTGAGCACGGCTTAAAAAACATGGATTTCTATGAAATGAAGTGTGTTTGTGCCTGAATTCAGGGAGCTGAGCACCAAACCTGCTGCAACTGTTATTTGTAACTTGCAAGTTTGTTTCCTAGGCAGTAGTGTTGTTCTTTGGCTATTTCTCCAAGGTCATTGTGCTAGAGTCAACCTTGGAAATGTTATTGATGCTGGTGGGTTTAGCTCTTCATGTATAATGTTTATTGTTCTAAGATGTCATGTACATTAAAAATGCTTCAGTTACTCTACAAAGCACTCTGGTGACTGATAAATGCTAGCTACACTAAGACACTCTATTTGTAACTTTTTTTAAAATCTTTTTTGACCATCTTTGTAGTTGATGGAAATGGGCATACTTCTTTCCAAATTCTTGGCATAATATGTGATAGAATTCCATTTTAAATTAGCATTTATTTATGTGTGTTATTGCTTAGCTACAACCATAAGTTATTTAACATGTGAAATAGTTTTTGTAAACTGCAGTAATAAGGCATTGACAGTGGTAACAATGACCTTGACACCCGTGGCAGTTAAGATGTATTGAGTACCACGTGTCAGGTGTTGTCGCTTGTGAGGGTGGGTCTTCTATTCCCCTTCCTCCATTTTAGAAGCAAGGAGATGGAGGTGAGCCTCGTGGCTTTACTCTGCTGTTGTTTCTCGGAGTGGATATACACGTAAAGATTCTTACTCTCTCACACACTAACAAGAACAGCAATGCCACTGTTTAAAGCCAGCCTGGAGACAGTGCCTCTTCCTGCTCTGGTATGTTTTAACTGAAGTATAATTATTGCTGGGTTGCAGCTCTAATTAGGCAGGTGATTTATTGGAGTGTTCTGTGGAGGATTACTTATTGGTGACTTAGGAACCTTCCTGTAGGGAGGCACAATTCCTTTTTTTTATCACTTGGTGACTGCCAGCACCACGCCATTCTCTCCTCTTTAAGTGAAATCAAACACACGGGAGAGATTTCTGTTTATTGTAGATTTATGTTTCATGGTGGAAGGTCTGTACTACTTAAATATTTAGAACACGATTATTGTCCCTTAATTCATGACTGGATATGTGCTCACATTTCCCTTCATCGTAGAATTCTGTACCACTAAGATACTCATTTAGCTGCTAGAATTTTTACACGGATCAATAAAGATTCTGAAAAAAATATACTAATGTCCAAAATAAAAATTAAAGGAAGGGTTTACACCATCATTTTAATACCAAATATTAGGGCTGAGGTTCCAGTTGAGTACCAGAATGTGTGTCTAGCATGTACAAGGTTCTCAACTGCAAAATAAATAAGTAAAAAACAAATACTGAATAAATTAAGTGTTTATGTTCCTAAAAGTTTTAGTTATCTATAACTATATTGTTCCTCTTCAGTGACATCAGGACTTTTATGAGGAACAAATGGCTTTATATTTGAAATTTCTTTTTCTTCAAATCAACAAAATTTTTACACTTGAAAATTTCATCTCTGCGGTATAGTAGCATAGCCAGCTGGTTGTCTAAAACACATCAGTCACTGAGTTAAAGTAATAAGTATAAAACTGATATTTTGTCATGTTAAATAGACCTGAGTTCTGACTGAGCCTGAATTCTGTGGTGTTTCTAACAGGGAAGGACTAGATCGGTGTTCGGTGTTTACCCACATTTAATTTAGGACACGAGTCTTTGTCAGCTACCAGGCCAAAGTCAAAAGGGAACTTTCAAATGCTTTGGTCACTTTATCATCCTCCCTGTCCTGGAGGGACATCTGTTTTCTAGCTGCTTTCTTTTAGTTTGTTTTTTGTTTTGTTTGCTTTTCTAAAGGCAATTTTGTTTCATATTACTGAGTTTAGAGTTGTTACTGGGTGAGATTGGAGGGAAGGGAGTTGGTGACTTAGCAGAGCCCTGAACCCTAAAGCTTGTGGGAACCGTCATGTGTTGGAGACCAAGCTGTTCATTCAGCTATCAAGTTCCTCAGGATTGAGACAAGGTCAGCGTGACCCTCAAGCCTTGGCCATCCTGCTAACCTTCCCTCTTGCTGCATGCCTGCCAGGCACTACACACACATGCGTTTATAGTGCATTGGCAAGTCTTTGTATAGGACTCACATGTCCTAATTCACAGGTGCAAACTGGAAGTTGAGTGACTGTCCAAGACCACCTTCGGAGCATTGATGGGGACAAGGTTCAAACGGAGTGCTAGCTAAAGCCAGAGCTTGGCTATAAGTCCAGTCACCTTGCACCCCACTTCATTTCTAACACTGACATTAGGGGTTATGGATTCCTTTGCACCAAATACCTTATATGGCCTCCATTGGTTCAATTACTCATCTTAAGATCTCTCCGGGCCTCGTATGTTTCTATAGCAATATCATGATCAGAACTGTGTCGGGCAGTGCAGCTGCAGGCAGCCTGGGACTCTGAATGAGATGATATGTAGTTTCTTTCCCAGTGCTTCTTACAATGAGAGTTTCACAGACTTAGAGACAACAGGGTCCTTTTCAGTCCCAATTTCTGACCTGTTGTTGATAGCTTGGGCCGGTTGTTTTTTATAGCCTCTTGAATGATTGTGAGCTGGTGAGGAACGGATCGAATAATCACTTCCCTGCATTCTTCCTTCACCCCTTGAGAGTATCTGAGACTTGTCTCTTGGAGCATGCCATTTAACTCAGAGAGTCAGGGTCATCAGAACCTTGGAAGCCCTGGAGACACTGCTGTAACCAGGCCCCTCCCAGATAGTATGGAGAAATATTAAGCAAGTCTGGCTTGGTGTCAGTTCTGGGAGATTTCCCTGTGTGGCATTCCCTACAGAGAGGAGTCATTTTTCAGATCGAGTTGGGGATCATTGTAAAGCATTTTTCTTTCTTGCCCCTTGCCTCTTCTTTCCATTGTTTCCCCCTTCCTTTTCCCATGTCTTTCCCATCTAGTTTCTGCTTTGTGTTTGAGCTATCTACACCATGGAAATTCCTCTGTATAACTCACACCTCTGCCCTGAAGAACATCTTGTCTCCCAGGCAGCCTCTTAGTTTTTCTTTCAAGCATGTAACACTTTATTTCCCTAACTAAAATCTCCGGTAGGTATTTGATTTGGATATCAAACACCTCATCAGTAACTTGTATCAGCTAGACTTGTCCACTAGATTGAGCATTCAGAATCTCAGATCTAGTAACATTCTGGAAGGCAGTCATAAAAAAAAAAAAAAAAGGCAACCTGGCCCTAAAAGGAATCTTCGGTAGGTTTCACCTAAGTGAAGCAGAATGAGCCTTGGGTGGAGCTAATTAGGCTTTGTCAGTGGGCAGCCTGATTCGATATTTTATTTCAAAGCTTGCAGGGGATTCACCTGCATAGGAGTGGGGACAGTTTTCTCAGATAAATGAACTTGTTTGCTGTGGACAGAGCCTTCCAATGATGAAAACATTAAATTCTGTGGCTACTCCTCCAGAAAATGCCCAGACTGTCAGAAAAAACTTGGAGAGTGACCTTGATCATGACCAGCTAGTTCATAAGCTGGGATCAAACTGTCGTTCTTTCTCTAGAGGGTAACTGAATTTGACAGACGTGATTTCCTTTGTGCAAAGACTTTCTAGCTAAGCATGCATGTATAAAGAGACAGTCACAAACATTTCCACATCTGTCATCTACTTTGAGCCATTAGCTAATCTCGTCCTCACCGAAAGAGCCATGGGGAGGAACAGGAAGCAACTGTGAGCTAATTTCCTTCTAATTTTAGTGGTGACATGGTAGGATTAGTGGAACAAGCCTAAGGATAAAGTAAATATTTGGGACATCTCATTGACCATGGCACCAGCAACAATGCCTTACTTTTGCCTTCAATTTAAAAGTATGTTGGATTGTATGTTTCCTGTGAGACATCTGGTTGCAAGTAACAGCAAGAACTTACTTAATGCAGTGGGGATTATTTTCTCTCCACAAGTAAAGGCCAGACGTAAGTGTTTCTGTCTGCATGACATAGCCGTTTTCATCTCCCTCTTTCCTTTTCTTCTTCCCTCCCTTCATCATAGTCCTAGGTTGTTACTTCATGACATCACTACTGCTGCCTCCTATGATGGAGCAGGGAGTGGGGGTGGGGGTAGAAACAAGACTGTGCAAAGCTTCTCCTGCCAGCCCAGAAATGTTAGAAGCTCTGCTGGAAAAATTACACTAAGTGTCTTGTAGTGAACTTTTGGCCTCCTTGTCCTTTTACCCTTCCAGGCTAATCAGTGGCCAAAGAAAGTGGTGCAGCTGTGTCTGGTTTGTAGGAATTGAGGTTGAGTTCCCTGCAGGTCTGTGAGTTAGGAGTGAAGGGGTGTGGTTGGGAATCTCACCAATAGATGGAGCCGGTCTTAGACTCTAACAGGTAGACAAGGTTGTAAAGAGCCATCTCTTTGGTGATTTGTATTTGATGAAACTTTCATGGTTGACTGATGTTGTTTTCATTCATTTATCATTTCCTGTCACACTGACATAGGAATCCTACAAATATGTAATAGAGTTAATTATGTAAAAGCTTGCTAACATTTACTTATTGTTATGCATACTATGAAATTTATTAGGGATTGTACACAAACTCACTGGAAACCACACACACACATTCATTAGAAACCTAGCACCTATCCTGGGGTGTGTGTGTGTGTGTGATTATAAAATTTGTGATAAACAGTAATAGGCAAATGACTTTAGTTTTAAAATACATCTGAAATTTGAAAATGCAAATGTATCGACTTTTTAATAAAGATCAAAGAAGGTCATAGAGCCTAGCCATCAGGGCTGAACTATTTGCCTGCCTAACAAAGGAAGTAAATACTTCACCCTTATCCCCAGCTCCTGTCCTCAGTGTTTAACCCCTGACAGGTGTTATCAGAAGGCCTCTAGCCATAAGCACATACCACTGTCGTGAAGAATGTGGTCCTGATGGGAAAGATGGTGGCAGAAGATAAAAATAATGAGCCAAACTTAAGCCTAATGATAGGCTATTTTTTCTCACACTTAATTATATAACAGGGATACTTTTTCCCCCATGATCAAAATAGCCTGGTATTTATCATCCTGCCATTAAGGATTTAATTACTAGTGACTGAGGAGAGAGATTTGCAGGAACCTTAAATTATGGCTAATCTTTGAGAAGAAAAAAATGTAATTTAGTGTTCAGATAAGATAAATATGTTCTCCTGTTGATTTCATGAATAAAGCAAGTGTGAAGCGTTAATATCTATGAGACACAGCAGTGAACTATAGAGTTTTGAAATTACTTACTTTATTTGTATCTGTTTACATGTTAGGTCAGACTAGAGCCCTCAAATCAGATTTGCAAATGGGAGAATCTCTGTGGAATGTTAGTCCATTACATCAATATTAATCATGCCCTCTTAAGAGCTGGGCAGTAGGTACAAGTAAGCATCACATCTAAATTATAATTAGGAAGACCATATAATTTATCATGTGAATTGGGACATTTTTCCAGCTTAAGTATTTATAGTCTTTTGTAGATAAACTTGACTTTATTACAGAATTATATAAATTTCAGTAAATTACTGCCAGCCTCTTAGCTTCTCTCAAGTCTGTCCTATCCAGTTTTTAGGTTGTTCAGCAGTTTACATGACAGCAAGACACTGTTGGAATTTCTCTGTATTTCCTGATACTTTTTGAGCTCATGTATCATGTAGGATCTGCCCCCAAGAGGAGAATAATTCTGGCCTCTCTCCAAGTAGTGCTTGCTAGTGATTCATTTTGCCAGTGAATTTGAGAAAACTGAGCATGCTCACTAAAGCCCCCAGAAGGCTTTCTGGTAGATCTGCCCACTCACAGCACAGTGGTGTTCTGAAATGATCTGTACCACCTGGAAAGCATTCTGGGAAGATTCTGGGCAGAGGTGGTTGGGTGGGAGGGAGGCACTGGGTACTGATAAATTAGGGAAGTTGAATTTGAGGGAATCAATTAGTAAGAGGCCTGTTCTGGCCACAGGTTAAGCCCCCTTCTCTGATCCAGTCTGTAAAGGCAACAATGCTAAAAGTCATATGCTCTTCTTGTCTCGTCCTCTACATCTCAGGATTTTGCATCTTTTCTGAGGATTTCTTGTTTCCTATTTCAAGATAGGCAGCTGTCTCAAGCCGCAGAATGTGTGGCTAATAGGCACAGGTTTGACCTGTGTGTGCATGAATGTGTGTGTGTGTGTGTGTGTGTGTGTGTGTGAGAGAGAGAGAGAGAGAGAGAGAGAGAGAGAGAGAATCTGAATGATATGTATGTGTACAAGTGTGTGTGTACATGTGCGTGTTTGTATATGTGTGTGTGAGAGAGAAAGACAGAATATGTGACTGATATGTGTGTGTGCATATTCGTGTATGTGTGAGAGAGAATATGTGAATGATATATGTGTGTGTGTGTGAATGTGTGTGTGTATCTGTGTATCTATGTTTGTGCACGTGTGTGGGCAGGTATGCGACACTGCCCGTATGTGGAGGTCGGAGGACAACCTTGATTGTGAGTCGCTCCACCTTGGTTTTGGACAGGGTCTCTTTCAACCCATCCCTGACCCACAAGCTTCTGCAGATTCTCCCCCTCTACCTTGCGCCTCCTTGTAGGTGTGCTGGAACTACTTCTCTGGCTTTTCTGTAGGTTCAGGAGATTTGAGTGCTGTCCCCATGCTTGTAGAGGAAGGACCTTCACCTACCAAGCTGTTTTCCTGGGCCCTCAGCATGGAGCCCTAATGATGCCTGATGCTTGCATAGGGAAAGTGAGTGTAGTTCTCCCTCATAGTGTGGCACTGCCTATGCAGCCTGGGCCTGGACCTTGGAAATGGCCGTTTGGGGTGGCATCCTGTCGTTCTTCACTTCAACATCTGGAGTGAAGTTGAGTCGCTTAACTTGCTGTTGAGAAAAAGTTCTCTAGAGTTTGTTCTTTTTCCTTATATCAATTATTTTCTTTCTCAGATCCATTATAAAGAAGACTATAGAAAGTCTAAGGACAAGTGTACATTTGTGACTGATACACCTGTGCTAAATCATGTGAAAAATGTTGGTGCTTTTATTTCTGAGGTAAGGTCTAGAAAACACTAGATGGAATGTAGCTTCCTTTCTTATGTTTCTATAGATGAAAATGTACATTAAAGTTAGAGAGTAGTTTTGAAAGTAACACTAAATACTGGTTATATCTACATTATCTAACTATGAACCAAGTTAATATGTGTAACCGATTTTACTGTATTTCATTGGCTTATTTTGTTATATTGAATATGCACATTTTGACTGTAGTTATCCTTTCTTTATGTAGAATTACTCTTGAAAAATAAATATTTTTACTCATGTAGGAGAATGGCCTGGTAGCTTAGTTAATTTAGAAGTGTCAAGTTATTCATTTCCTAATGATGTATTCTAGAGGTAGGTAATTGAATACTATATTAGAAATATGTAAATTTTGCCAATGAAGTCCTTCAAACATGCCATCTTTGAGCAATAATTTTAAATTAGCTCTTTTGTAGAGGGATGAGACTTAGCTGGAGAGAGGCACTGGTTAGGAAGCCAGAGCGAAGGAAACATCCTGTTTCCAGTGAGAAAGTCACATAGCTTCTCTATGAGCAGTCAGTGCCACAGTCCACGATGGGTCCTGATGTGCCATGTCATCATCTCTGTGTTGAGGATTTGCATTAGTCTGTGAATGAACTTGAAAAAGAGAGCGAATAGAGCAGCATTGTAAGTGACTGACCTCTAGTGTTTTGTAAGTAGTGTTGGAAAGAGATAAATATGATGTTCTCGGGATTATATAGTAATGTGATACAATTTAGAGAAAAATCAGTCCATTTTCTGTTATTATTACCAAAATCTTTAGCTGTAGGGACAAAGGCCTGTGAAAGGTACGCTCCGTCAGTCAATCAACACCCAAATCAGGTCGGGGTGGGGGGGCGTGGGGGGCTCCTGAGGCCTCACCACATAAAGAATCATGGTTTTCTTGTATTAGCTACGTTATTTATCCCATGTAGAGAAACTCTTAGTGTTCTCAATTGTGACCGATTAATGTTCCTGAAGGAGTTATCTACAGAAAAAAATTACACGTGGTTTCCTGTCCTGTTCCCACGAACCTAATTTTCCCATGAGGAAATGGTGACTGAGTGTCTGTTCATAGTCAGTGCTGGCTGAGGACACACATACACACACACACACACACACACACACACACACACACACACACGGAGGGGAGAGGGAGAAAGAGAGAGAGAGAGAGAGAGGATGAGCCTTCACCTTCTATTGTATCAAAGGAAGCCAAGAAGGCTTTAATAAAGGAACAATTCTCCTTTTCCTTTATTTATTTATTTATTTATTTATTTATAAATTATATATGTTCATATGATCTAATCTGACCATTAGACATTTGTACAGTGTGTTCTGGCGAGAACAGATAATCAACATATTTTTATCTCCTAAAAACAACATTTTGTCAAAGACAGATAAAAATTGTCTATACTTCTGGGCTGAGAATGATGTTTCAGTCCATACATGATAGGTACTGAGCCAATCAAGGGAGCTAATATCTCTTTCTCCTTGTCCTTGTTTCATGTCTGTAGTCTTTGGCTCCCCTCTTCAGCTTTTCATAAAATGAACAGCAATCTCTTGTGAACTATGGTCACCTCAGAGCTCTGTAGAGAACCCTGGGACACATTTATTGTACCCCATTGTCTGGGTTTCTGTTATCCAACATCACAGCCCTCCAGTGTCTGGTCATCATCCAGTGTCTGGTCATCTCTATTGTCTGCCTTTAGGGTCTAGGCAGTAAATTCTAATGATTTGTATTTTGTGACCCAGAAGATCTCATTGTTCTCAGACCATTTGTTCACTGGCCAAACACAAGAAACCCTCAACACAGACTTCAGAAATACACAGACTGAAGCAGAAACTGTCCTCTGTCCTTCCAGATTGTATATAAAACTCTCCCCACAATGCACTGGATATATTTCTATCTTACAGAATATGTCCATTAGATCTACTGATGTACATTTAAATAGCCAGCGGGTGTTTTAAACCAACTGTGTTTCTAAAGCAAGCTTTCTTTTATATTTATGATATCAAAAAATGCTTATATTTCTTTTCCTTTTTTTGGCCTCTTAGGCAAAATACAAAGGCACCATTAAAGCTGATCTTTCCAGTTGTCTGTATAAGGACATGCCCGCCACCATTGACAGTGTCTTTGCACGAGAAGTGTCCCAGCTTCAGAGTGAGGTATGGCTCAAATCTGTAACCTGATGGAAGGTAATTGTCATTTTATGAGCATTGTTTATCTTGATTATCACATACTGAACAAAAGTTGGAAACAAGCAACTGGTCTATACTGCTAATTATCAAATGTGAAATAACGGAAACTGAAAGCAGCCTTCGGTCACCTGTCTGGGTTTTCATGCTCCATTCATTGCTCTTTAAAAACCTGATTCCAATGTCTTCCAGACATTTGCATAGAAGGACTTTTGATAGCTACTGTCAGATGAGTCACTGATTCAATATATAACCCCAACGCCAAAAACATTTTAGTCAAATTTACCAAGTCAGGGAAACAGTTGATGGGTGGATTTGGGAAATGCACAGGCCCACGCTTCCTCTGCTGGACAAATGTTTCCAGAGTATCCTGTCCTGTGGCACATGTTTGCCATTGTGTGATCTACAGCCATTACCCAGGGACTCCAGCATGTTAAAGGAGCTATTTTAGTGATTCTAAATTGCAGAGAAACAGAAGCGCTATCATCATGAAAACTTATTTTGAGTCCAGGAGTGTAGGGGGATGACTTTTTTTCCTTAAAGAAGATTGACAGGTAAGGCATTCTAAATGTTCCCCATCTCCTGACGTTCTAGCTACAGGATTTCCAACTAAAATATTTTGATGCTATGTGCCTCATTGTATTGTTTACATCACAGTGTGATGATGACATTGGCGACAATGTTTATGCTCATGTTTGTGGGCTGTACTCCATTTTCTGTTATTTGGCTCTCTGAACTTCATGGAAGAGCCTTGTCTAACTCATTTTCTGCTCTGTATTTGGAGCAGTCCCTAGCAATATATTGCTTTCCTTTCTAAGAAGAAGGTTCCTTCTGCATAGTTTATGTTTTCCATGTGCAGTGTAGGTCTGCTATAACACATGTGCTTGCTGGGTCAGGTGCTGTACTGTGTTGCTTCTCACGTCTGTATATCTGACCCCCCCCCCAACAACTCCACAAGCTATTCCCATGTAGCGTTGTAGAAACAAGCACATAGAGGGTAAGTAGCTTTCTCAAGGCCACATATGCAGGAAAAACAAGATCCAGAACACAAACATAGCTAGGTAATCAGCCTCCAAAGTCTGAGTCCTCGGCACAAGTGGCACTTCATCTCTCTGGCCATTTCTACTACTTGCTTTCTTATTAATCAAATTTATTTCTGTTTTTAAAATATATTGTAAAACTTTGTTTTGAGATAGCCCCAAATGTAGCCCAGGCTGGCTTCCCACTCACTATATAGCTCAGACAGAACTTCAACTCACAATCTTCTCATGCCAGCCTCCCAAGTGCTGGTGCTAGGAAGCCATGTGCTATATTCCTTGATTCAGTAAATTTAGTTTCTTCTTTAGATTTTTTTTTAAAGTAGAGGCTGCCTTATATTTCAAATAACTCCCGAATGGATTATTCTGGAAAAATAGAACCATTCTTAGAACATCTTTAAGTAGTAGTTCATTATTATAAATTTAATACTATAAATCCAATGTGTCCTCAGCTTGGCAGTGACTCTATCTTGACTGTGTGAGATGAGTCCAAAACCATCTGACATCAAGCTTCTGCACGGTTGACTGTGATGAGTATGTCTTTTAGTTGCCCTGCCAACATCTGGTCACTTAGCTATTTGTTGATGATATGGGCTACTTAACAAAGCACATAATTACAGCACAACATTTGATGTGAGACAAGTAACAATTATGCAAGAAAGGAAAGGAATGCATTCTTATGTTTGCTCTTGGTGAGGTGATAGTTTGGGATTTGTGCTGGATAGTTTTATGTCAATGCACAAACTAAAGTTATCTGAGAGGAAGGAACCTCAGTTGAGAAATTTATTCAGTATGATGGGGGCTGTAAGGAAGGCCATAGGGTATTTTCTTAAGTAGTGATTGATGTGGGAGGGCTCAGCTCTTTGTGGGTGGGACCATCCCTGGGCTGGTGATCCTTGGTTCTATAAGAAAGCAGGTTGAGCAAGCCATGGTGAGCAATTCAGTAAGCAGCACCCCCTTCTGTGGCCTCTGCATCGGCCTCTATGTTCTTGCCCTGGTTGAGTTCTTCTTCTGAGTTCCTTCAATGATGAACAGTGCTGTAGATGTATTAGCCAGACAAACCTTTTCCTCCTGAAAAGGTTTTGCCCTGATCATGGTGTTTCATAGTAGTAATAGAAGTTCAAACTAAGACAGGATACTTGAGTTCTAAGATTTTTTTTTTTTAAATACAGAGTTTTGGAGTTGGTCATATTTTTGTTAGAATAAGTTACCACGTGCATCATTACCATGTTCTCCTATGATAGACAACATAGGTGGACCTGTTATGCACTACAAGTTACGAATGTGTCCCCTGCGATTAACTTCCAACTTGCTCTAAGGGAGAATTTTTGATCTTTCACGTGTCCATTTCAAAGGCTGACACAACTGTAATCATCTCTCTTTAAATTTGTATGCATCTATTACTGTTATTGCTGTTAAGATAGTGACTCCAAATTTTCCTGGAAATAAAAGGGAAGAAAGATGTATTATTATTTGCAAGTGTCTGTGTGTAATAATTAAATTATAACTGTGGCTATGTAGGATCAGAGTTGTGACATCCTCAGACTTGACTAGCAAGTGTCTTCCTGTTTACTTTTATAGCCACTTTCACCTAACCCTTCAACTAACTCTTCTCTGAAGTTGCAAACACTCTTGAATGTTTAACAAAAGTTTATTATTTTGTTGTCTGTTCTACAAAGAATACAAAATGCCTAGTTCTATTAAAAAAAAAAAAAACCAAAACAGCAGCGTATTCCAGTTTGGAATCTGCTATAAGGAATTTGAGAGAAGGGGCACATTCAGAATGTCTTACATATTGACTCACTTTAAGGAAATTTTCTCTACACTTCTGAAGTCTAAACGAGTTGATGGCTCTTCTACATGTTTGTAACTCAGAATCACTAAAATAGCTATTTCTACCTGATAACTAGCTCAAAGAAGAAATTAAACTAGGTTCATACTTTCTTATAGAGCATGATTGATAGGAAGAAATGAGAGAAAGGAAGTCCTAATGCTTGTGGGAGACCAATTTATGAGTTATATAAAAATAAAGACCCTAAAGAAACCCAAGAATGGGGTGGAACATGCTTTAAATCTGTGGGATTCTTGCCTGCATGACTGTTTCCAGGCTAGGGCTGAATGCTTCTGCAACACAGAAATGTCTCAGGTAACTGTCACGGGAACAAAGTAGACTTATGTTCTATGTTTGTATCATTGGTAGCTATAGGCTTCTGTGTCTGCAGTTCATAGGTGTCTGGGCTGTGTGTGTGTGTGTGTGTGTGTGTGTGTGTGTGTGTGCTGCAAACATCTACTGGAAGTGAAACCAGGCATTCATCTGTACTTCCAGCATAGAAATAGGAGGGTCAAAGTTCAAGGTCATTTTAGCAATATAGTAAGCTCAGTGTCATCTTAGCAAGAAAATAAGTTCAAGGTCAGCCTCAGGTACATAGGATCCCAACTCAAAACAAAATCTACTAAAAGACAAATGTAAAAATCTCACCTATATGAGCACGTTTCTATAGAGTGTCTGATACTATTGACAGTACACTCTGATTTGGTTGTGCAGCTCCACACTGTTCTGAATGTTCTCTAAGTGTAAGGAAAATAGTTTGAAGCAAGGGAAACATTATAAAATGACAAATCCTTAAAAAAATTTAATTTATCAGAAAACTTATAAGCTTGACATCATTTCCACTAGCTATTTAAAGGAAGAAAATTGCTATGATAAATTAAAGTTCAGCTGCTCCCAACTTGATGCAAGCTCGGTTTTTAAAGCAGTGCTTAGTAGCAGCTATAAATGAAATGACTATTTCGAAGCTGAAAGTAGAAAATTATGTATCCTCTTTAAGAAAGAGTGCCTTTTCAAATTGTTTCTGGATGAGTCACTATTTCTATGATAACTCACAAAATGGTCGGCTGTGTTAGTTATGTTTATGAAGTCACGAATGTGGAATTCAGCCTAAAATGCAGAATATAGCAAGCATTCATCAAAAGAAGAGATAGACACATGCTGGCTCTTTTCATTTAAGAGGAAAGAACAGATCTCATACAAGTTTTCGTGGTTTTATAGACTTGGCTACTCATTAAGCTCTCCATCTCCTCAGAGGCATAATAGAAAATGCAAGTGACTGTGGTAATGGACTCTTAACCTGTGTGGAGGTTTCTCACTTAAGTAATTGCTGAAAATGTAAAGATGTTCATCATAATTGCATATTTTTTTGAGCAAACAGAGGGACACACCACAGCAAGATGATTATACCTAGAATATATGAAGTGCTGTCTTTGATTCTTGATAATCAACCAGATATACAAGACTGGATCCAGGAACCTGACCAGATAGGACTAAATCAGATGCAAACATGTCAATTATAAGAAATTCCCACATGGCTGGCAAAAGGGGAATGACCTAGAGATGTGTTACTATCGTCTGGCAGTTGGAAGATTATAACCGAGATTTAATTACAGAATTCTCATGAAATGAAGTCAGATTGTTTTAGGTACCTTAGGAAAGAGGTGGGTCAGTTGGCAATTGCATCTTGGGAGCAGCTTGGAAAGTGCAGAAGTTCAGCTCTTTGGTCCACATGGACAGTGTGGAGACTCCAAGCCAGTGAAGCTTGTCTCTGTACTGTCTGATAGTTTCTCATCATGCATCTACAACGTTCAGCTCTGGAGACACAAGTTGGAGGTTTGATTAAAGGAGGAACTTTTAACAGAGTTTATGATGTTTAGAGTACAGCATCCTAGGTTGAATGCTCTTTGAGTAGGAGAAGTGTTCAAGAAAACTTAAATGCAGGACCAGAGAGGCCATTGGAATGTCAAGAGCTGTACTAGATAGCATATTAAAACAGTAAGAGTCAATGGCTGTTTATGAAGAATAGCCCTACCACTTTAATCCTGTTGACGGCTGTGTACAAAGTTAAGTGGGTAGCCAGTTCTGTTTACAAAGTCCTATGAGGATTGTAGCTGTATGAGGATGCCGAATAAACTCATTTATTCATTTACTAAAGGTTTATTACATTGCTACTCTGTGTTATTTACTCTGATAAGCACAGGATATTAAAAGATGTGTAAGATATCAAAATAGCTTCCAAGGAGCTCATATTGGTGACAAATTCTTCCTTAAGTTTAACTATATTCTTTTCACTGAAAGTAGACCCTGTTTTGTTCTTGCTGAGTACTGTACTGGTATTTATTTTTATTGGCTTTTATATCCTTACACCATGCAATTAATTAATCCATTAAATATGCTTGTCATAATTCAACTCTTAGCAAATATTCAAATTGCTTTTGCTTTTCTTTCTTCTCATTATTACGAATCCCATTCACTCCCACATTCATTTATTCACTTGTTAATTTGTTGGTCAGGTAGTCATGGATGCTATTTTTCTTCCCAGATGCTATTGTGGGATTCAGTTGGGGAGCTGAACGGTTCTGTGTTTCAGTATGAGAAGATAGACAATAGGTGGTTATACAAAAATCATAATAGTGAAGGAAATAACTAAGATGATCGTAGAAGCTGAGAGAGAAGACTTGCTGTTTGACTTTCTTTATTCCTGATTTTATTGTCAGGTTTGGTTGTGCCATTCCTTGAGGCATCTTTATAACATCCACTCTCGAGCCCATACAGAGCAAGTCAAAAATAGTAGCAATGGACAGTACTGGGATGAAGTCATCCCTAATGGAGGACTAGGCTCGACCTAGCTGAGAATTGTGGCTGTATGTTAAATATTCTCTCCCTAATTGCGGAATTTAATGAAGACAAATCATCTGCCATATCGTACCAGTCAATCATTTGTGCCTGTATGAAATCAGAGCCTTTCATTTAAAAGTAAATAATCCATGGCATGGGAGAGATGGCTCAATGGGTAAGAGCACATATGGATTTTGCAGAGAACTAGAGTTCTCGTCTCCACACCCACAACTACCTGAAGCTCTAGCTCCAAGAGTATCCAAGAGTAGCTCCTTGGGCATCTGCATCCACACAGATACACAGACACACACACATAGTTAAATATACTTAAAATATATCTCTAAAAGTATATGATTCACTTTGACACATTTTTAATTGCCCTCCACTTGGTGAATTGTACCCTCAAAATTTAAACCTTAGATATCTGTAACCCCACAAGCTCTCAATTGCTGAGGTTTCCCTCAAACCGCAGCCATGATTGAAGACAGATGAATAAAATTGAGGTTTTTTAATCTTTTGTTCAAGCACTTTTTTTTTAGAGATAAACTGCAAGTTTTGAGTTATGAATCTAAACTGCAGTACCAAAAAGGGAGAGTTATGGCTGTTATCTTGTTACAGACTTTCAGACAAATTTAACTGTCAGCCAGAAAAAACAGAGGAATTTAAAGCAGAGTTAACACAGCTCTAAGTGGATCTAATCCCTATGTGTGTTTAAAGGTTGCCTACAAGCAGAAGCACGAGGCTGAGAAAGGCTCCTCCGACTACGCCCACATGAAGGAACCACCAGAGGTCAAACATGCCATGGAGGTCAACAGGCACCAGAGTAATGTAAGCAAACTCACTCTTCACAATTTTCTGGAAAAGAGTATAACAGATTTGGGAATATTTGGTTGAGATTAAAAGATTACAGCATGCTATTCACAAGGATTTAACGTTTTTATTTGCATTATTATGGTGACTGCCATTAAAACTTTGTTGAATACCTTTACATTGTGAGACATTTCAGGCATTGTAAAATTTGCTCTGAATAAGACAGGTGTGGATTCTTTGACCAGTTTGGTTATCAGCATTTACTGAACTTCCTTGAAATTATGAGGGAAGTTCACAGTCTCTACTCCAGAATGGCAGGGCCACTGGAAGAAAGCCCAGATGCCATCAGTGGCCCAGAGGAATTACAAACTCTTGTTTTGAGGTTGCCTACTGCATTTTCTTTAGGAATACTTATCAGGTTCAAACTATTACATGTAAGACCCAATAGATATGAACTACCAAAGCAGGTTCCTAATGGCTTAGAAGCAGGAGCTGGGGGAAAGTAGCAGATTAAAGACAACACATTTCTTTATGGGTTCTCCATGCATTTTACCAATTTACTCTATCATCATGGCCAAGAAGCATAACCTCTCCTGAAACTATAGCAGAATTGTGAATTTTCTGGGCTCCTAAAAGATGTATGAGCTCTTGGTTAGGTTCTTGAAGCATTCGTGTCAGTACTGATAGATACATCCTGTCCTAAGTGGGTCAAGAAAACACCCACACCTTCTCAGAAACATTCCTGAAGCTTTTGTGTCATCTCACACAGAGTCCTCCCTACCATGGGGCCCTCTCGGTGAGGTTTACATAAAACCACAAACTTTTATTTCAACGGTTTGATGTGATGACTGCATTCAGAGCCTAGTCTTGTAGAATCTTTATGTTTTAGATGTCTGTCTTATCACTTTTGGGAGTAAAGAGTTATTTGACTCATGGTTTTAGAGAAACCACAGTCATGTTGGAAGAGAAGTCATGATTCTGGAGTGGCTGTATCCATGGTGACAGCAGTGCAAGGCTTAAGTGTTTACATGATTTCAGACTAGAAAGCAGAGAGATCTAGACTGGATCCAGGGACACTTAAAACATTCAAAATCCTTCCCCAGCCCAACGACTTCCATTGGCCAGGCTCCATTCCCCAAAAGTTTCATAGTCCTTGAAGCATTGTTCCAGAGTGGTCAGGAAGCATTCAAAGCAGAGTCTGTAGGAGACCCTTCAAGCTAAAACACTATAGCAATTTCTGTGCAGGGTATACACAGTTATGTGACATTAATTTGCATCAGGTCAGTTTTAAGTTAAAATCATAGTGAGGCTTGATATTATGACCCAAACACGCCAACACCAAAGCATTCTCATGGATGCCTTAGTGCTGGTGGGAGCTAGAGAAGCCAAGTGTCTGAAACTGTCAGCAGGGCTGATATTTTAAGGGAAAGGTTTACACACATTGTTTGCTTATAGAGGGGTCTATAGTGTTTATAACTACCACTTACCCGGTTCAGCCACATACTAGGCACTGTGCCAAGACTGGTCATTTCCAGTTCTTAAAACAATGCTGTGTCATGTCCCATTTTATAGATAGATGAAATCAGACCAAAGGAATCAAACTCTTAATTCTCCCTTTTCTACTGCCCCACTGCCTCCCTTGAAAGGCCACTGACAATTAGTCAAGGTTTTACAGGAGAATTAAAAAGATGGGAGTGATATAAACTGTTATCAGAATTCAGGTGATCTGCATGAAAAAATAACTCAGATCTTGGAGCTCCCATTGTTTGACCACTGAAGAAACCTTGAACTTGAAGGCAAGGCTGGGAATTACACAGTGGGCAGGTGCGTTCAGGTTGAGTCTGGTGTTCCACAGAATCCCTGTCTATCTCTATTGCTCACCAAGACTCAAATACTGACGTTCCCTATCCTAAGACCTAGGTTTATCATCTTAACTCTCTTTTCTCTTAAAAGGTCTGTCATTGAGGGACTGAGGAACCAGAGCATAAAGCCTTTTTCTCCTCCATTCAATACTGTGTACTTATGGGAGAAGGATGTGTTTACTTACTTTCCTCTGCCGACTTGGCCCAACCTTTACTTGCAAAGTTTGTACATATAATAGGATTTAGAAACTGTTTAAGACTATTTACTCAGACTTAAAGTGAAAATGATATTTGTATTCCACCTTGAGGTAGTTTATATTCTTCCCAAGTCAAACCTCATAGAATAATACATTTGCTGTCTTCACAGTATGAAATTTAATGCGGGCCTTGGAAGCCATGTGGACAGGGAGAGCTAGGACACTTTCTGCTTCAGTTATAGAACATAAAATATTATCTCCAGGAAACTTCAGCCCAAGGAACTGTGATACAGAATTTTCTAGTAGAATTTAGCAGCAGCATTGCTCTTTTGCAATGGAGAATGTCACTTCACTGTTTGGACATAAGTGACTCAATATAGAATTGAAGCTGGGGGCTAGGGAGATGGCATTATGGGTAAAGGCACTTGTTAAGCTTCATGACTTGAGTTAGATCTCTGGCACCCACATGGAAGAAAGGAGAGAACTTGTGTCTGACCTCTATGCATGCTATGGCATAAGTACATGAATGTACACACACACACACACACACACACACACACACACACACCACTCTAATACTAAAGATAAATAAAGTGAATCAGATTATCCTATAAACAGTGAATGTCAACTTGTTACCTTTGTGTATATTCACAAGAATCAAGTCAGCTTTCTAAGAGCTGTTAGCTGAGAGACTTGGCATTTGTACTCTGGAGCCTCTGTTTCTGCTTCTTCTCTGATCCTACTTCTTCTTAGGATGCTCTTCAGTGGTCTAAAGAGAGTGATTTCTTTTTCATTTTTTTTCTAAATATTTATGGATAAGCGAAAGACTCTGACAGTCCAACAAGATTTTCATCTTCAAGAAACTAGAAGCTTAAAGGACTAACAGTAGTATTTGGGGGGGGGGTAGGTGGTGGTAACTTCTTGCATAAATGAAAACTTTAGTGAGTAGTCACAGGAGAGGAAAAGCCATAGCTCTTGTGATGGTATCCACTGGAGCTCACAGTAGAAGAGGAGTTTGACTATAGACGTTGGTGAAAATGTTTGCTTTGCCAAACGGTGTGAATGACTGTGGACAAGTTACTTATGCAAAGAACTTGCTTTCACATCTCTCAAGCAGGGAGGCGAGCAGTGGGCCTTACCTCTAAGGGTTCAGTCAAGTTTTAAAGGAGACTGTAGAATTAAAGAGCTCCTCAGAGGTCTCTTTGCTTCATGAAATCATAGGTCTGTCTGGCCTTCCTCCAGCTTTTAAGGCAGGGTGATTTGAGAATTTAAGGTGATGTGACAGTTAACTAGGATCCATAAAAAGAAGTTCAATTGTTCAAAGGGTCAAATCACTATGAAATATATATGAAAAGAGTATCAGATCAGAGAGGCAAATTAAAAAAAGTCCCTAAACCCTTCTCTTGTTGATACTGTCATCAAAAAATGATTCAACCTGGCCTATCTAAATCCTTTCATAGTTTAAGGGATGTGCCCCCAGCACATTTTCTAATATAATTAGAGAAACTGGAGGCATTTTTCACTAGTGATTTCCCCAAAAAGATGGACTTGTAATGAGAGCCCCAGTTCTGTTATTGCTTCTCACCAATCTTACATAGATGGGAACCACCAGTCGTTCTGCTGTAAGCCAAGTGCATCTCAAGTAGCCATTTTTAGCTTTATAGGTTGTGGCATGACGGGAATGGTCAGTTTTCATAAGTTTGTATTACTAATCAATCCAATGACTTGATGGTTTTTTTTCCTAAGCATGGCGTATACACTTTCTTAAGATTAATAAAAACTTATCAGCAGTTAAGTTTCTGATCCCTTCAGAAAGTGAAAAAGCTTGTAGAGAATTCAGCAAAATGATACTCGGACAATGATTATGGCTTTCTGAGGTTCCCATGGGACTTATAATAACAGTGTTTCAGGATTTAGTATCAAAAGCATTTCATTCATCTCTCAGAAAGAGTCATTAGAATGACTTCTCTCTCTGCAGAAGGCTGTGGTTTGATGAGATTGGATTGTGAATAAGAAAATATTTATCAACCATCTAATAACTTAATAGTGATTGACTATTCTAGATGGAACTCTGGGGTTCATTCCATCTTTTAGGAAATTGAAGGATTTTTCCTGTTTGCTGTATACATCAGGCCATACCTTTACTAATATTTAAAACATTTATATCCTGTCATAGAAAACAGTATTTAACTGAGAGCAAAGAGGAGCTTTCTGGAAGCTGTGGTTTAGCTAGTGGTACTTGCTAGTATGCAGGAGGTGCTGAATTTAGTCTGCAGTGCTTACCAAAAAGCAATCCTAGTCTACGAGCCAGTTTGAGGTGCCTACAAAGGCACTCTGATAGCGACATTTTTAATGGTTATAAAAGGTTTCCTTTAGAGCTGTACACTTTGACCTCTCGTTTAGTCCTCTGTAGCCCGTACTTCTCCTTTCTCCTCCACCAAAGTAAGAAGCCTTCTTTCTTGCCTGGTTTTGCCTCACCAAGAACTATTTGGTTCCTCACTAGAGTGTCAGAGTGACTGGTTCTAGTCCATCTGGATTTGTTGCCTTTGGGCCTGCCTGCTTGCACAATGCTTGGCATCATCTCTGGAGCCTTTCCTTCCTCTCCAAGTGCATTACTTTCCCTCCAAGGGCTGTCTGTGGAGACTTTGCTTTTGATCAGTTTATGAATTCCCCAACCAAGGAGGGTCACATGACCATTATATAATCCTGAAAAGCTTGATGAGAACCCCCTGCATCTGTGTCTGCCTGTCTTTGGAGAGCAAAGCATCCCATTTCTTTCTCCTTTCTAAATTCTGTGAATGTTCCATCTATCAGCTCATTCTAACCCATATCTAGAAAAGGAAGGGGATTCTGGAGAATGTGGTTCCATCCTTGGAAGTGTTGATACAGCCCAGTTTAGTCTAGACAATTTTTAACAGGGATGGGATGGGAATTTAAAGAATTCGTGCACACAAACTACTTAGCACAACATGTGACGCACTGAACTCATTGCATAAATGAAGAAACCCATGAAGGACATGGCCTGTGTGCAACAGAAACAGAAATACTGACAGGAGAGAATACACAGGTGCTGAGAAACCACAGAATTACATAAGCATGAGGCCAGGGCAGCTGAATGTGGTAAGACAGGGCCCAATCCAGAGCCAGACCGTTGGTGAATCCACTGCTTTACTGGAGGTCATAAAGGACAGATTTGACTCTACAGAAAACCATGAATGGATGTCTCAAGAGTTAGTGATGGGAATCCATCTCCCTGTACCTCAAGTAAAAATGGAGAGGTTATTGGCTTATATACAGTCTCACACTGGTATCCATGGGGGAGTAGACTTAGGAATTTTGTACATATATAAACCTGTGGATGCTCATATACTATATATATGAGCATATATTATTATATGAGCATATATATTATATATTATATGAGCATACATATTATGTATACTCATCTATTATTATTAAGTTTATATTAAGCATACATTATTAGGTATTATTAACTATTATCTGATCATGTGCTTTGTATATCTGGTCCCGTATTTTAAGCCACCTTTAGATTATTTAGAGTACCTAATGCAGTGTTTAAGTGTTAGGTTAATGGTGAAATCAGGGAATATCAATACAGTTTGTTTTTTGCAAATGTTCTTAATCTACAGCTAAATCCAAGATACAGAATACATGGTTGTAATTATAGTTGGAGGCCCAGCTATAAATAGAATGCTCAAGCATCCTTCAGCCAAGCTGGATACAAACCCCCTCACATTCTCACAAGAAGCTCTCTTTGTCCCCATAGTTTGGCTCTGTTCAGTTCTATCCAGTGTCAATTCTGACTGACGGTGTCTGTGAGGACTCAAAGAGTCAACTGTTGTCTCCACCTGAAGCTATGTTTATAACAGCAGATCTTAGAGGGAAGAAAGGTGGCATGTTGTCCCTATTCTTCACAGCCTCTGGATGCTTCTAGTCCTGATTAGGCCCTAATCATGATTTCTCAACGGGCTTGCTACTTGACTGGCTAGTCTGGATATAGGAAGGTTCTACTGCATTACGGAAGACAAATTATTAGTGAATGGGAAGCAGTTCTTCCCAAATGACAAATGCTAGGTGGTGGGGCCAAGATGCAGTCAGGAAAGCACTTGTCTCCCAGTGATGAAGACCAGTATTTGGATTCTCAGAACTCATATATAAAGCCAGCATAATGGCACACATCTGCAATCTTAGCAATAGCAAGGTGAGAGGTAGAAACAGACAGATCCCTGGAGGCTCATAGGCCAGGTAGTCTGGCCCATGTGGAGAAGGTGCATGCCAATGAGAAAAACTGTCTAGAATAAAAGGGAGAGGGTACCAGAGGACTAGCACCTGAGGTTGTTCTCTGACCTCAGTATCCACTTGTACACCTACACACACACACACACACACACACACACACACACACACACACACACAGAGTACATGCAGGAGGTCATGCTGCCATCCTATATAGGGTCAGTTATCCTAACAGAGGGTGTGATGGAGAGCTTGCTACCTGAGTGTCGTGGATGGCAAGTCTCCCTTTCTTGTGACATTTTTCCATCAGTGCTGCCCCAGAAGATAGTGAGCCGGATCCCGCGCTTTTCCCCTGCATGTCTCTGTGGTGTCCTCCTGTTTGAATGTGCAGCTCATGTCAATCTTAATATTTGTTTTGAGTCGCATATGCTGGCCTCTAATTTGCAATTTACATGGATGATGGGGCCCTATTCAGAATCCCGCTCCTGCTGCCTTTGTGGCGTTCACCTCACACCACGCAGTCATTAGGCAGAACAGCATATAATTAGGTAACCCATGTAAAGCTGAGGTTTCTGAAAGGTTGCAGTTCTTTTCAAAAAGTGTGGGTTTCCATCTTTCCCCCCATTCTTCTCTAGACAAAAAGTCATTTCCCCCCCTGGTGGCTCTCATATGGATGTACTAACTTAGAGGCGGTTAGTCTTGGAGGTGGATAATAATTTGGTTTGTTTTCACCTGAGGACTGGGTTTTGTTTATGCAGCTTGTGTTTAACCCAGTGTAGACAGGAACCGAGTCGCTTTCATTTGTAGCATTGCTCTTTGTAGCCAATGAAATTGGCCTGTTTAAAGAATCCTGATCATCTAAAATCTATGTCACAAAATAACTCAGTTTTCAGTTAATTTTAATATTTCTTTTACTACTTGTATGTGTACCTAGAATTACTGGTGAAGGCAAAGCTTATGAAAATCTAAGAGCCAAAGAAAACAGATGTTCTCGATGAAATTGTACTAATTGTATCAAAGCTGTTTTCACTTGTCAGGCAGGTTCATGACAGTAAGTGTAGTTTTTAAAAACAGTCATGGTGTGAAGGCTATTGCAAGCTCATGAAAGATTAAGCGGAAGCATCGTATTTCACGAAATGAAGTCGCACAGTGCATTGGAAACCCACTGAAGTATTAATGTCCGAGCATGTTTACTCGTGCTTATTGCCATTGAAGTGGGAAAAGCAGCAGGGACTTTTTAAAACTCAGAAGAGTGAAAGGAAAAAAGCAAGTAGGTCCATGCCACCAATCCTGGGTCACAGTGATCAGTTAGGAGTTTATTAGAATCAGATTCTTAGGGCCCATTTACCAAGATTCTACAACAGAAGACTAAGTGGAGCCCAGAGATATAAAATTATAATGAATAGGCCACATGGTGCCATCGCTGAAACTTTGCTGGCAACATTAAAAATATGTCCTGTCCTTCGTTCAGGTGTCTTGTGGTTCATATGTCTGTATTCTATCCCTCTATGTCCTGAAAAAACAAAGGTTTTAAAATCACCATATACTTTACATTATAACTGTAGCAGAATATATTCTAATAGACAAGTCAGTCTGCCTATGATAAAACTGTATCTGACAGCCAGGACTGTAACTTATGACACTTTTCATGACACAGAGAAGCAGAAGGATGAGGAGATGTTAGCTATCAGGCACTGTATTGGTTCTGTTCTGATCTTTCCACCCATTCGTCAGTCCAAATAATGGCAAGAAGCTGCATCAAAAGTACTTTGCATTTGTTAGCACTTGTTTGGTTCTCTCTTTAAATTTCTGTCTCTCACCCTGAGATTGATTTATGCCTAGTGTACATTCAGGGGATATGATTCTTTAATATAGTTTCCTTTGGTAGAATTAGACCATTAGTAATGACTTAATCTATTAGGAGATAAGTATCCCCTAGGCACGGACATCTGAGGCATTCTGTTGAGAAGACAGAGGAAGGAGTAGCTGCCAGGGTAGAGAATGGGGTTACCTAGCTTCACCATCTGTCATCCTCAGGGGAGCAATAATATGCAATTGTGTGTCAGGAACTGTCCTGCATTCCCTGAATGAATGGATGGATAGATGGATGAATGGATGAATGGATGGATGAATATTGGCTGAGTATAAGCATACACAGTTAAGCACAGAAATTACTCAGAGTGCTTTATAGAAAAATCCGTTCAGATTGATTCCTCCCCACTTTTGTTCTTCTATTCAATAGTATATATCTATTTTAGACACATTGATGGACATGGGATGATATAAAGGGAGTTAATATATCAGGGGAAATGAATGATCTGCACAAAAGACATGAAGAAAGTAACTTAAGTTCAGTGTGTTCTCAGAGCGAGCATGGCAAGGGTAAATGATTCTATAGAAGTGAAGGTAGCTGAATGAAGTGACCAAGTTATACGTTTTCCAATTGAAACTGTCTCTTTCATCAGATTTCTTACAGAAAAGATGTGCAAGGCACCCACATGTATACAGCAGAGCTGGACAGACCGGATATCAAGAAGGCAACTCAGATCTCCAAGATCATAAGCAATGTAATCTCTCTCTCTTAATCTTGTGCAAATCTGATTTCTCTTTATTTTGGAGGGAGATGGAGCACAGCATTGTTAGTTGGAAGGCTAATTTAATTGACATAATCAATTCATTTGAATTAATGACATCTCAATTTTGTCCTGAGTTACCTATTTGAATATGCAAATGATTGGGGATGTGTATGAATTGCCCATGTTCAGCCCAACTGTATCTATTATTAGCGTATTTTTAGAGGAATACACACTATTGGGTTTATGATCGCATTCAGATGTGTCAGCTTGGAAGCCAGACTTGTCAGTCTTCTGATCCTGATTAATCTCTCAGCTTACTCCCATCCAGGGAGCTCTGCTTGGCCTCTTCCCATCTGTTGCTGGTGATTTGCCGATTCCTTTCCACCAGCACTTACTTCTGCACACGGCCTGCATGCCATGGCTGTGACTTGTCTTCTTTGGGATACTTTCCCAAGTTAATGCCATTTTTGCTTGAGCATCCCAAACATCCTGGTTAAAGTTATCTATTGGAATAACATAAGTCTACGCCCCTTCAAAATCAATAAAGAAACTAATTCAATTGCTTAGTAACCAAGTGCCTGTTTTCATGGACAAAACAATCAATGTTATCTGTGTAAAGAATGTAGACTCAACTTTACAGCAAAGCTCTTAGAATCTTTAGAGATAAATATAAAGATGATGATGACTGGCTACTTAGGTTAAAATAAATAATTTTTCTTTTACTAAAAATAAATTTCTGCTTTAGCAGTCACTATTTTAGTATTTGGTATGTAAAGTATTTTTAATGACCTAAGGGACTATGATATCGTATTTTGATTAATGTTAATGTAATGTAAAGTAGGAATATTAAAATTTTCTCATTATTCACTTTAGGCAGAATACAAGAAAGGGCAAGGTGTAGTGAATAAAGAACCTTCTGTAATTGGAAGACCAGATTTTGAACAAGCCATGAAAGCTTCTCAACTTTCTAGTCAGGTAAGACTTAAGCATGAGAATCCTTCAATGACTTTATTCATAGGTTTTATTTCAAGGAGCATAGAAAACATTTCATCTTAGATAATATCTTTAATTGCAAGAATAAACAGAGGTAATGTTTCTGAAGTTACTTCAGCTAGTATTCCAATAACTGCAAATTTCATCAGAGAAAAAAAGTCCAATTCTTAGATCAAAGTGCAGACTTCTCTCCAGGCTCACAGCCGAACCTGTTTCAGTGAGTTTGGCCATGTTGTATTTCCAGAGATCAGCAATAGCCAATACTAGAGGTCATATTTTTATGTATGTATACGCAAAATTAAAAAAAACCACACATACAATTTGAACTTAGTAATAAAAAATATTTTCTCAATTTAAAAACAATTTTTTTTCTTAATTAGACAATGTAACAGGCAAGGTAAAGTGCAGAAAACCTTGAAATCTGATTTCAGGATATAAGACCTAAACAGTCTACAAGCCTGGAAGGTAAATGGCTTGAGAGTTAACAGGTTAAAATTTCAGTATCTCCAGAATTATCATATAAATGCCATCCAATTTCAGTGAGAATCCAAAAAGATTTTTTAAGAATTTGAGTGAAATAATTTCAAAGTTTCTGTGGACAGGAGTTGCCTGAAGAGCTTTTAACAGTGTGGGTCTGCAGATCAGCGACAGGGAAATACTAGAAAACCATTTGAATAAGTCAGTTTATATTGAGAGCTAAAATACTCAATAGGTTAGAATAGACATTTCTGAAATAGATTCTAGTATGTCTAAGAATTTAACATATGGCAAAAGTATTGATTCAAGTCAGTGGGGGAAAGATAGGGCAGTTAATAAATTGTGCTAGTGTCACTGGCTACCCATTGTGGTAAAAGAAAACTGTGTCAGTATCTTTAACCCTATTCAAAAGTGAATCTCAGGTAGATTAATAATATGAATGCAAGCCAAACATGACGTTACTTTCCTGTAAGTCCAAAGGCTGATCCAGAAGATTTGGGGTCAGCTTGTACTGTAGAAGAAGTCCCCATTCTCTAAACAAAGCCAAACTCAAACCAAATAAGCCAATACCATCCAAAAACTCAACCGACAAGAGCAAAATAATTAAAATATTAAAAAGAAAATTCAGGAGTCACTATATGGCACACAAGGTTTGTATTTTAACAAGACCAGAGGTCCAGAGGTTCTCATGAATAGTAAGCCACAATGATTACACAGATATTAAAATCATTGCTGCATTTTGTGACCCATGCTTTCATTTCAACACTGGAGAGGCTGGGGTAGGAGGAGTGTGAATTGAAGGCCAGCCTAGGCTACATACTGAGACCCTGTCTCAAAAACCCCAGGTAAGTAAGTAAGTAAGTCAGTCAGTCAGTCAGTCAGTCAGTCAGTCAGTAAATAAACATGGGAGTTTATTCAGGGATAAAGGTGTTAGAGTCAACAATGATGTCAACAATCTGATGTTTTAAAAATACATTTATAGTTTTTAATTTTGGAAAATAATCTATTTCTTGTATCATACTTCAAAATAGAGCAATATAAATAGATATAAGTCTAAAATATGGCTGAAGAATATAAGATAAATCCTAAGTCTAGAAAGACATACTGGGGTGCATGGTTTGAGATTCTTGATATTCAATATCACCATAATGCTATTTCTTCCAAACTTAGTTTTAATGGCTCTATGTAATTCCATTTCAAATCCAAAGTCTTTCTTTTCAAAAATAAGGATCAAATTAAATAACCAAATAAATCAAACAATTTTGCAATTTGTACAGAGAAAAAAAAAGAAAATACCTTTTTGGATAGTAAAAAGAGAGGCAGTTATTTCAAAATATTTGTAAACTATGCTATATAATATATATAAGATAATAAATATTTTTGTCATGAGATCTTTTTTTAAAAAGTTATTGTTACTGAGTATGTACATGTGTGTGCCCAAGTGTGCACCTGTGTATAAAGAATCCCATGAAGGTCACAAGATGATGGTAGATGACATGTGGCAGGAGTCATAGGTGGTTGTGATCTACCATGTAGGTATGAGGAGTCAAACCTCAGTCCCCTGCAAGAGCAAGAAACACTCTTCACTGCTGAGATAGCTCCCCAGAATCCTCATATATTCTTTAATGTGGAAACAAAAATGACTAACAACAAAGCAGAAAAAGTGAGAAATGAGGTGAATACAATTCTACAAAGAGGAGAGATAAATGGCCAATAACTATGTGAGAAGATGCCCAAATTTATTAGTAGAAAGAAATGCAACAGAATTTAAGCGAAATGTCACTCGTACCCATAAGCATTCTGTTTCTTGCTTGTGTGGGGGAGAAGGACATGCCGTTAGAAAGGTTTTGTGTAGGAGGTAGTGTTGAGTTGGGCTTGGCTTAACAGGAGAGAAGTCTGCTCAAGAAGAAAGCCCCAAATAAAGGCAGGAAGGTGACTGAGGTCAGGAGTGGTGCCTCTGAGCCAAGTGGTATCAGTTATGACCATAAAAAGGAATTTAGGCGGATTTTTAATGAGCAGAGGGTCAGTGTTGTATTAATTTTGACTATATGGCATTATTTAGAGAACAGAATGAAAATAATGTGTTCCTTTTATATAATAAATTAATCATTAATCATGATATTGTATTTCTTATATTAATATATGTTTGCAACTTGGCACAAATCCAGACATACCTGGAAAGACATATCCTCCACTGAGGACATGCCTCTATCTGATTGGCCAGTGAGCATGTCTGTGGGGGCGCCTTCCTGATTGCTGCTTGATGTAGGAGGACCCAATCCTCTGTGGGTGGCATTGTCCCTGCGCAGGTGGGTCTGGGCTGTATAGGAAAGGCAGTGAAGCAAGCCAGAAGAAGCATAGCATCTCTTCATTGTTCATCATCTATCTACCTCAGTTCACGGCCTCGCTTCCCTCAGTGATGGGCACCTAGGAGCCATTAGATATAATAAACCCTTTCCTCCCCAAGTTACTTTTGATCTTAGTGTTTTCAACAGCAACCATTCAATATGCTGTCTTAATGATTTGAACTTCAATGACATTGAATGAATTCATAATGTACTCCCACCATCACCATCCACTCAACTCTTCGTCCTGTAAGCTAAACTCTGCAGCTGTTGAACAATGACTCCCAACCCAACTGCTACAGGAATGATGTGCTCTATCTTCAAAGTGGTAAAAGGAGAGAGTATTCCCATATGTAACTACAGGGTGTGAGTGTGTCTTTAAAAAAGAACAAATCATCACCATTTCAGCTGTAGGCACTCAATTAAACTTCTATTTACAGGTGAGAAATAAGTCATCACAGAAAATTTTGATGTGGGATGGCTTATGTAGACATTATTCTTGGCAGATTAAGATATCAGCACTGCAGGAAAGGTTGGCCTCTGTCAGAGATAAAAGTTCCATGGGCCAGCAGGGAGTGGTTGCAAGACTCACACAGGAAATGATCTACCCATCAGACATCTCCCGAGCTATAGTGGAAGAGGGAAGGAATGTGTAGGGGAGGTACAGGAATGTAACTGTGACCTGTGCTAATTGTTTTATGGTTTGCCAGGCACTTTCACTTAGAAAACAACTCTGTGTCTTAGAAGGCTTCTAAGGCATACAGGACTGAGAATATGCTTGGAAAATACTCTTAGGAGAGGCCTAAAATAGCTATTGAAGCCCTGGGCATTCTTAATAATGCCTGTTAAGAAGGCAAGAGAGCTTAGACTTGCTTTGGGATTGAGTGTACATGGGTGGGTGCCATGGAGCACATGTAGAGGTTAGAGAATAAATTCCATAATGTGGATCCCAGGGATCAAACTCCATTATATCTTGGCAGCCAACAATCCTACTCTACTGAGCCGTTTCACCAGTTCCCTCCCTTACTTGTTATGCTCCTGTTCTTTGCAGTATATGACAGTTTCCCGTCAGCCACACAGCAGATTGTACAGAAGCAGCGTGGTCCCTTTCAGTGCCTAGGAAACTTGACTGTGGAGCGAGACTCTTGGGATACACTACTGGTTCTGTTGCTTGTTTGTCGAGTGATCTTGGACATAGTGCTTAGCTTCTTTATTTCTGTAAAGTTGATCTGACAGCTGATGTGGCTGCTTGTTAGAGTTGTCACAAGTACGCTGTTAAAATTGTTACCTGGCCTACACATCATGCAATTCCATAAAAATCATTTTGAATAGACACTTGGAGCATTTTCACATTTACCTTTCATTTAGAGGAATTCACATACAGGGTGGAGCAAGCGCAGGAGCATTCACTCTTAGACTCCAGGCTAACTTCACTCCATCCAATCCTCCCTGTGAGTCCTTAAGAGAAAACTTCAATCTGAGTATTTATTTTCACATTTCTAATTCAGTTCACAAGAGTACTACCATTTGATTTCTCCTTAGGCTTTTAGAAATATATTTTTTCAATCTTAAATTATATATCTACCGAGTGATCAAACACTTAAACAGATTGCAGTCTGCAAGTTCTCTGTACCCATCAGGTTTACTCTCCCATTGGTCTTATAGTCTATAGGTTTCTAAAAGGGGAAAGGTGGGTGGGCATGAGAGTGCACAGAAGTCCTAGAATGGTTTGTTTAATGTGTATTCTCAGGTGCATCAACCTGAAACAAAGGCCAGAATGTAGTTTCTTGTTGTCATCAGTAACTTCAAAGGTCATATGCCTTCTGGCTCCTAAGCCAATGACAAAGGCATAAACATACATGGTTGGAAATGGTTTAGGAATTCAGTAAGCAGGGAAAAGAGGTGAAGTGGTGTGTGCGAGAAGGCACAGGCAAGGCAGTGTGCTGCTGTGTAGTGGCCAGGCATGCCTGCTGGGGAGTGGCAGACAGCAGACTATGAGTGGGAGAAAGACATTTTGCCTGTATGAGCTCCGTGGGAGTTTACTCAGGCCAGGCAACAGAAACATGAGCCAAACTATTCTTATACAAAATTGAACAATTGTTTGGATCCTTTGGATAAAACCTTTCCCTTTTAAATTTTATTTTTTAAGATGTATATTTACATGTGTGTGCATGCCCATGCCCGTGTGTGTGTGCATGCATGCATGTGTACTAGTGCATGTGAGTACAGGTGCCAGAGGAGACCAGACCTGTAAGTAAAGTTTGAGGTGTTTGTAGTAACATAGTTACTGGGAACAAAACTCTATTCCTTGGTAAGAGCAGTACTTGCTCTTAAACTGAGCCATCTCTCTAGCCCCTACTTTCTTTTTAAAAATTGCGAAGATACATATTATTATGTTGTAGTTCTTTTAAAAGATTAATAAAGTAAGATTTCATGTGCCAAGACAAGGATACTAGTTTACGTGCATCTCAAATGTAAATGGACTGGCAAGACCATTAACTTAAAAGTTCTAAATGAGGAAAACTTGTTACTATGTTCTTATATCACCTGAATTTCATATTTGGAAATTGTCTTAAGGATGAAAAGATTAAATCTTTGGTCTAGTTTTATAACAACAGAGAAACATTATAATATAATTATCAGTATTTATTGCAGAATCATATTTGTTGTACTGATAAGAGTGAGTTTAAAACGTAAGAGATCCAATATGGATTGCTGTAAAAATTTAGTAATAAATAGTGTCCTTGAACGAAGAAGGTATTAATTGGCTTGGAGATGCTCCCATTCTCCCTTCCTGGCAAGCATACACTCTGCCAATCTTCTGACACTGCCAAGCATAAGCTTAAATGTCATATTCCAAGTTGCCAATGTGAATGGATCTCTCTGTTCATTTCCGTATAATTCGTGATGTGGGGTGTGTGTGTTTTAAAAATTGACTTGAGTGACTTACCCTATGGCAAGTCCCACAGTCCAGGGCTATTAGGGTTATAAAATAAAATAATAAAATAAAATAAAATAAAATAAAATAAAATAAAATAAAATAGATTGTTGATAAATATGTGGATGTCTTAATCAAAATTTCTTTAGATTCTTAACATTTGATACAAAGTCAGGATGATATTATCTTGTAAAGAAAATAAGGGCATGTAAGCCTCTGGTTTTAGTTCCCAGACCCAAATGAAAAGGAAAGCAAAATGTAAGAAGGAAGTAAGGAAGGTAGGTAGGAAGGAAGGAAGGGAGGGAGGAGGGAGGGAGGTATGGAGGGAGGGAAGAAGGAAGGAAGGGAGGGAGAATAAAGAAGTACACAGATAACATTCTATGTAAAATTCAACTTAAATTCTGGTTGTTTCTGTGACGAGTTCTATATAAAACTGTATTATTTTCTTTGCTCACCTGTAATTTAATTTTAGGAAAGATCGGAAAGGATGGATATTTTTAGATACTTGGTATATTGTTTTCAGTGATAATTAAGGTCCACACCACAAACTGTCCATTTTTTCCCAAACATTTGATTTTATAGCTATGCTTAAAGAATCATTCTCTCTCCTTGCTGGTTTTAGGGGAGCTGAAGCATAGGTAGTGTTGTGAGGGAGCCAGGCACCTGAGTGCTAAAACTCATGTGTTTAGAAGTCTCACTTCCTGGTTGCATTGCTCTGTCGAGAGGCTCTTAGAGAATTAGTTTAAATTCTGTCTCCATAGACACAGTGGGGACTCCCTAAAGTCTAGTTATAGTTAAAATTCTTTAGAAAATAGTTGAGAGTTTGATTTTATATAATTGTTCTATATACTTATTAGAAAGTGATGGGTGTCAGAGCTTTATGTGTGCCATTCATAATGTAAATAAAGTAACTTTATGACTTACTTATAGAACTTCATTTATTTCTGAAATGATGGATCTGGGTATAAGGAGTCACATTTTATCTCAACATTATCACTTCTCTCTCTCTTTCTCCGATGATCTTATAACTGGCAGGTATACGCTTTGCTCCATGCTTGGGTAAGCAACGCCATCCAAGGCTTCACAGGGATCTCTTGGGAGATGTGGGTGTGAATAGGGAAGCAGACAGTCGGGTTGTGAACTGTGGATTGAAAATGGAGCAGAATGTTGAACATGTCTGTTCCGTTAGTGAGGGAGACAGTCGGGAGGTGAGAGATATGACCCGTATCAGCCATCTGATTCTCTTTATTCATGTATGTGCAGCTCTTGGAGAAGGCATGAGGCAAGATCCAGTTTTATGTCAGTGTTTGCTTAATGTCTTATTAAATGATGCAGCTATTTTGTGTAAGTTAATTATCGATGGAAACTCTTATGTTTGGTTTCCTGCATATCTTATGAGACCACATCACGTAGACAACAGAAGTTTAGCACTTTCTTATTATTAATTATTAATTATAATTATTAATAGTTAATGATAAGCTTACAACACTTTTCTCATTATTACATTCAATATAACTATTGGAATCTTGTGGGCAAGAGATCGACAATTATTTCTCAGAAATAAGCATTTTCTTGGAAGAGGAAATGCCGGGTTTGAAAACAGATAAGCTACCAGCTTTGTCCTCACACCAACCTACACATCGTCATTGCATCTGGTGCAGCTCCTAAGTATACACAAACAGTTGGAAGTGTGCCGTGGTGGTTATGGTTAGTTCTCAATTTGATAGGGTCTAGAATCACCTGTGAGATGAGTCCCTGGGCATGCCTGTGGGAGACTTTTTGGTTATGTTACTTGATGTTGGAGAGACCCATCATGACTGTGGCTTGCGACCACAGGCAGAGGCTCTAGGACTGTATAAAATGAAGAAAGCAAATTAAGTGGCAAGCTTTATCCCTTGCTCTCCGCTGGTGCCCCTTGGATGATACCCGAGTAGCTGTCTCTATCGCCACCTTTGTGGACTGAAACTGTGAGCCCAAAATAAGTTGTTTCTTCCCCTCCTTGCTTTGGTTGTTGGTGTAGAGATAGTATGAAAGACCAAAACAGTTTATTTTTGCTTTTGGGATATGTGCATCCTTTTCTGTCAGTGTGAATCAAGGGGTGTGGGATGCGAGTAGCTGGAGTGTTACTCATTTGTCTACTTAGGGAGAGAATTTGTCTTTACATTCCAGTCTATAGATGGATCTATGCTGTGTTTTTTTTTTAACCATGAAGGAATATCTCTAAGTTGACAATCCTTTCATTCTTTTTTCTTATGACTAAAGAAAGAAAAGCTTTAGACTGAATATTGAACATACTTTTTTTTTGTTGGATAAATTGAGGAGTTAAATCAAGACAAAAAACAAAATCAAAATCAAAAACAGAAACAAAACTAAAAATGCCAGAAAGCAGATGTAGAACATTGTAGAAAATATATTTTCTAAAAATTAGACTTTAAGCAATTGAGATATGGATGTTGCCAAAAATACGGTTTAAAAAAGAAATCTTTGAACAAATTAAATGTGGATATCTGTATTTGGGATAATTTCCCTAGGAAAACCCATTTGATTTCTGGTTCCAAGGACACACTTTGTAAGTGAGTCAGACCTTAAGAATTAAGAAGTGTGTGCTCTCAGTTCTGACTGATCCTGGGTTACAGGGGTACAGAAATGGAAACTGACTTGTAAAAATTTTTTATATTATAAATGCATAATTCTCACGAGCGGAGAGCTTGAGCCCATGCCTAATGACATTCATGACCAATATTCAAGTAGCGTATTAAACTTTTTTAAATGCCTCATTAAGCTTTATGGAAGGGGACGAATATCAGGAATTTAAATTCTGCAACGATTCATTTGAAAGGTAGCTTTCATTTGCTCTCTTTAAAAAAAAAACCCTAATTTGTTGCTTTTCCACCAAAATATGTGATTTCATTTAGTTTGTCCTTTTTCTTTATGATAGGTTAAATATAAAGAAAAATTTGATAATGAAATGAAGGAAAAAGGCCACCATTACAACCCTCTGGGAAGTGCGTCCTTCAGGCAGCACCGGCTTGCCACTGTCCTGGCAAGTGATGTAAGTTGTAGTCTACAGAAATTACTTTCAGTATCTTTAGTGTCTTGTTTTCCTAGAACTAACTGTGTTGTAATTACTGATATTTAATCAAGATCATGTAATTTCCAAGTAATTTGTAGTTGGAAACACTGGAGCATATTTTCCTGAAGCTTTGTTTTTTCTAGAAAAGTATATTATTATAATTTGCTATTAATGGTTACTGATTACTAATTAGTTAATAAGTAGGAACAGTGGTATGAATAAAATTATTGTGTCTGATCAAGAGTAGAAATAGATTATAGAGTTTTTCAGGAAAGAAATGTATATTATCGCAAATTAGTAGGTAGGACAACAATTAACTCATAATTATGCCCACAAAATTGGGTTTATTATAAAGTACTACCTGATACATGGGGGTTTATCAAAAAGAAATTGTCATGAATTGTGCTGCTAAAGGTTTAAAGCTTCTTTCGTTTTTCTTATGCTAAGCACTATCTTTGTAGATTTATCTGCATGTTCTTAAAATTAAGAAAGATGTATTGGATAATAAAGGAAGTTTAGAATTTTTACTAGGAGGAAGTATTGTCCAAAACCAGAAACAATGTCAAACGGTTCTTTTTGGGATCATTTAAAACATGGACAGATCCTTTCCAATCAGAGGACCTGAGGATCAAGGAAAGGCTCTTCCGCTGAGGCTTCAGTTCAGCCTCTCTGCCTCCATGGGTGGCACTGGCTTTACTTCTCTTTCATTCATGTGTAGAAGGTACTGATGCTCAGTAACAAGTCTTAGTTTGTGTCTGGAAGGTAAAGGGGACACGTTTGTCTTTCACAACCTCTGGGGATATCAGAATCTTTCTTTTCCTGGCTGATAATTTTTGAATGTGTGCAGACATGAAGGAGGTAAAGATGAGCTAATCTTAAAGGAATCTAGAATGGAGTCTTAAATGCTCAAGACTGAGGATCAGACTGCCTGGATGTGATCCTGCCCAGCCACTTACTGTTATGCCTTCAATCTTTCTGTGCCTCGGTTTCCATATCTGTCAAATGGGAATACATTTAAACAATTATGGTGGTTGTAAAGATTGCTTTGTATATATAAAAAGGTTTTAAAAATGTATACAGGTAGTGTTTAACTAGCTTGATACTAATATTTTGTTCTAACTACTAGTATAAAATTCAAAAACAGTTGGTTTAAAAGAAGAAGAAGAAAAAAAAGAAGATTCTCATGGGTTTAGAATGCAAAGCGGCTAAAGCTTAAATTACAGCAAAGTAAAAATGAAATAATTCCGTAGCAGCATGGAAAGAATGAAGTGAGGCTTTCCTTGTTCTCTAAAAGTAGAGTTTCCACTATAATTACTGAAGTGTGTTAACACCACCGTTTTGGAATATATAAACAATAAAAGAAATTTAAATGGTTTCAAGTCCATAAGGAACCATTTGACTCATTCAGTAGTGAATCAGCACCATCTAGTGGCTGCTTGTAAATCCTGTCACTACCACACTAATCAGGACCTTGTGTTGGAGAAAAAAGAATGAGCCATTAATGTAATCCGCTATATAAACACATCGAAAGAAAAAAATCATGACTATCTCATTTGATGCTGAAAAAACATTTGACAAAATACACTATATCTTTATGTTAAACGTATTGTACAGATCAGGAATTCAAGGCACATATCTAAACATAATAAAAACACTATACAGCAAGCCAACAGCTAATATCAATTAAATGAAGAGATACTTGAAGCAATCCCACTAAAATCAGGGACAAGACAAGGATGCCCACTCTCCCTGTATCTATTCAATATAGTACTTGAAGTTCTAGCTAGAACAATAAGACAACAAAAGGAGATCAAGGGGATACAAATTGGAAAGGAAGAAGTCAAGGTATCACTATTTGTGAATGATATAATAGTATACATAAGCAACCCAAAACATTCTACCAGAGAACTTCTGCAGTTGATAAACAACTTCAGTAAAGTGTCTGGATATAAAATTAACTCAAACAAATCAGTAGCCTTCCTTTATACAAATGATAAATGGACTGAGAAAGAAATTAGGGAAACAACACCCTTCACAATAGTCACAAACAATATACAATACCTTGGTGTAACTCTAACCAAACAAGTGAAGTATATGTATGACAAGAACTTCAAGTCTTTCAAAAAAGAAGTACAAGAAGACTTCAGAAAATGGAGAGATCTCCCATGATCATGGATCGGTAGGATTAACATAGTGAAAAAGGCCATCCTACCAAAAGCAATCTACAGATTCAATGCAATCCCCATCAAAATTCCAACACAATTCTTCACTGCCGTGGAAAGAGCAATTCTCAAATTCAGCTGAAAAAACAAAAAACCCAGACTAGCAAAACCAATTCTTAACAAGAAAAGAACTTCTGGGGGTGGGGGTGGGGTGGGGTGGGAATCACCATCCCTGCCTCAAGCTTTATTACAATAGTGATAAAAACTACATGGTATTGGTACAGAGACAGACAGATTGATCAATGGAATAGAATTGAAGACCCAGAAACAAACCCACAAACGTATGAACACTTCATCTTTGACAAAGAAGACAAAAATAAACAATGGAAAAAAGAAAAAACTTCAATAGATGATGCTGGTCTAACTGGCAGTCTATATGTAGAAAAATACAAATAGATCCATATTTGTCACCTTGCACAAAGCTCAAGTCCAAGTAGATTAAAGACCTCAACATAAAGCAGATACACTGAATGTAATAGAAGAGAAAGTGGGGAAGAGCTTTGAATTCATTGGCATGGAGGGACATTTCCTAAAAAGAACTCCAAAGGCTCAGGGACTAGGATCAACAGTTGATAATTGGGACTTCAGGAAACTGAAAAGCTTCTGTAAGACAAAAGACACAGTCAATAGGACAAATCAGCAACCTAAAGATTGGGAAAAAAATCTTCACTAACCCCACATTTGATAGAGGGCTAAGGAAACAAAATAGATAAAGAACTCAAGAAGCTAACCTCCAAAAAACCAAACAACCCAATCAAAAAAAAATGTATAGAGCTAAAGAGAGAATTCACAACAGAGGAATTGCGAATGGCTGAGAAGCACTTAAAGAAATGTTCAAAGTCCTTAGCTGACTCTGAGATTCCACCTTACACCAATCAGAATGGCTATGATCAAAAACTCAGGTGAGAACATATGCTGGTGAGGATATGCAGAAAGAGGAACATCCCTTCATTGCTGGTGGGATTGCAAACTGGTACAACCATTCAGAAATTCAACCTGGAGTTTCCTCAAAAAATTGGAAATATATCTACCTGAAGACCCAGCTATACCACTCTTGGGCATATACCCAAAAGATGTTCCACAATGACACAGGAGCACATGCTCCACTAGGTTTATAGCAGCCTTGTTTGTGATAGCCAGAAGCCAGAAACAACCCAGATGTCCCACAATGAAAGAATGGATACAGATAATGTGGTTCATTTACACAATGGGATACTATTCAGCTATTAAGAACAAGGACATTTGAGTTTTGCAGGTCAATGGATGGAACATGAAAATATCACCCTGAATAAGGTAACTCAGACCCAAAAGGGCATGCAAGGTACTCACTAATAAGTGGATATAAGCAAAAACAAAGTACAGATTACCTAGGATACAATCCACAGAACTCAAGAAGGTTAACAAGCAGAAGGGCCAAAGTGAGGATGTTTCAATCCCACTTGGGAGGGAGAAGAATCACAAGAGGCAGAGGGACAGCGAACTCTGTGGGAGATGGGATTGGGAGGGCAAAAGAGAAATATGATCAAGTATTGGGCAGGAAGAGGAGGGGTAAACAGGAGAGAAGCCCTGAGCACCAGCAGAATGAATGGAAATATGCAACCTCTGGGAGTGCAAGGCTGGGGGGTGGTGGTGGTGATCCTCTAGAAAGTTCCAGAGACTGGGGAGGTGAGAAACTCTCAGGACTCAAAGGGAGAGACCTTAGATGAAATGCCCAACAGTAGGGAGAGGGAACTTGTAGAGTCCACTTGTAGAGCAGAAAGACAGGGAGGGCATCAATAGTACTTAAAACCCTAACCAAAGCAATTAGACAACAAAAGGAGGTCAATGGGATACAAATTGGAAAGGAAGAAGTAAAAAATATCACTATTTGGAGATGATATGATAGTATTCTTAAGTGACCCAAAAAATTCCACTAGAGAACTCCTAAACCTGATAAACAACTTCAGTAAGTGGCTGGATATAAAATTAACTCAAACAAATCGGTAGCATTCCTCTACTTAAAGGATAAACAGGCTGAGAAAGAAATTAGAGAAACAACACCCTTCACAATAGTCACAAATAATATAAAATACCTTGGTGTGACTCTATAATCAAGCAAGTGAAAGATCTGTATGACAAGAACTTCAAGTCTCTGAAGAAAAAAATAGAAGAAGATCTCAGAAGATAGAAAAATCTCCCATGTTCATGGATTGGCAGGATTAATATAGTAAAAATGGCCATCTTGTAAAAAGCAATCTACAGATTCAATGCAATCCCTATCAAAACTCCAAATCAACTCTTCATAGAGTTAGAAAGAGCAATTTGCAAATTCATTTGGAATAACCAAAAAAAAAAAAAACGAAAAGAAAAGAAAAAAAAGAAAAGAAAAAACCCTCAGGATAGCAAAAACTGTGGGAAAAAACTTGCGTGGGGTGGTTGCTCGGACCGTGCAACCTCCCACAGGCCAGCGCTGTGGAGGAGGCGGCCCACCGTGGTGGGGAGGGGATGGGTGGAGTCCCGGGGGCCTTTTCTGCAAGTGTGTTCCCACATACACAAGAAGGTCTAAGGTTCCAAAAGCTGGAAGCTTGGGCAAGAAGACACGCGGAGTCCGTGGAAGAAGTTTATTGTCCATGATGTGAAAGTTGGATCTGAATGTGCATGGGCCTCCCAAAGCCAGGGGAGAGCTGGCTTATATAGAGAGAGGGTGAGAAGGAGGAGGGACCAGGGAAGAATAACTAAATTATCTAGGAATTATTAATATGTAAATCTCTTGAGGCA